AATCGTTACTCGTTTAGCGTAAATAGCATATAAGTTCGTTATTAAAAGTGATTAGTAAATCGATTAATAAATCGATTAGTAAATCGATTAATAAATAAATATATAAGTACTTACTTTTAAACTCTTTTACAAAGAATGCTTTTAAAGCTTTTTGTAAACATTTTAAAGCATCGCTTTAAAATTTAAAGTCTTGTTTAAAATCGTAAGTGATCTCTCGAACAAAACGCTAAAAAAAAGTCTTTTTAATAAGAAGCTCAGTGCTTTTTTAGTATCGTCGGATCTCTCTTAACGCAATAGCTATATAAATTAATAATTGTACTTAAGAATCAATTTATTAATTGATTGAACTTACTTTTTAGCTTATAGCGACGGCGCTTTCGTTAGCTTAAACCTTTTTTTTTCGTAACAATTGCAAACTTCTTAAGATACTTGCTTTTTTTAGATTTTTAACGAAAAGAAGTTTTAACTGCTAAAAGTGATTTGCTAGCTAATAGAACGGAGCGAGCAGCTTTAGCTATCGAAAGTGATTTTTTAGCTCTTTTATATTAAAAAAGAAGAATATCATTTTCACTTAAGTTTTCTTTATTATCGCTTTGCTCTTTTTCATTTGTATTATTATAAAGCATCGTCTTCGTCGCGGTTTTTATAGCTATAATTAAGCTCGAGATAGTAAGAGACCTTTTAAAAGCTTTTTACGCGAAAGCTTTTTTAATGCGATTGCTAATAAAAGCAGAAAAAGGTTTAATAACTATAAAAAAATTGTTTTTAACACTTAAGTCGTAAGACGGATTTTCGTTTTAAAGTTAAGCTAATGCACTCGCTTAGCTCGTCGATTGTTATATTGCTTTTAAAGCAGTTCTAAAACAATTAACGAACGAAAAAAAAAAGTTTAAAAAGATTAAACTTATTAAAAGCTATTAGTACTTATGCTAGTATTATTAAAAACGATGCTTTTGTTTATTTCGGATTGAATAGCTAGAATAAATCTAATTGCGTTTGCTAAAGAAAAATTTAATTAATAAATATTTATTAATTATAAGTCAAAAACATTACCGGATCGAAGTCTAAAAGATAATAAGTGCTAGTTTATATTTGCGCGAGAGTTTATTAGTGTTTGAAAAGCGTCACTTAAAATAATAGAAATTAGCAATTATTAATTAATAAAGTAATTAATACTTATTAGCTTGACCTTAAGAAATTCGGCGAGAAAAGGACGAAGATAAATCGGTTCTTTATTATAAACTTGCAATACCGCGCGAGGTTTTAAAAATTTTTATAAATGCTTATTAACTATTTGCAATTGATTTATTAATCAATTTACTAATCAAATATTAACCGGATAGCTATCGAGTTATAATAGCGCGGCGTTTAGCAAAAGTAAAGTCAAGAATTTTTGTAAATGCTTATTAGCTATTTGCAATTGATTTATTAATCAATTTATTAATCAAATACTAACTAGATAGCTATCGAGTTGTAATAGCGCGGCGCTTAACAAAAGTAAAGTTTAACGCATTCGTAGTTAATTAAGCTTTGCTAGACTAAAGATAAGGATTTGCGTTAAGCAAAGTAATTAAAAAAGTATTAATAATACTCCGATTAATTAAATATAAACTTACTTTGTTTACTTTATAAATTTAAGTTTTCTTTTTCTACGCTTTCGCTACGTATTATATTTGCTTCACCTTTTTGTGCTTCGTTCTCATTTACTTGACCTTTAGCCGCTTGACCTTTAGCCGCTTAACCTTTAGCCGCTTAACTTTTAGCCGCTTAACTTTTAATCGCTTGATTCTTAATTGCTTTATCAATTAACTTATTTTAACTTGCGTTATCTCTTTTAGCCGTAATGCTTAGTATATCGGTAAAAAGAAGTCGGTCCGAAAGCAAAAGTTCGTTTAATAAAAAAGCTATTTAAAAGTATTAATAAAAAAACTTGATCGCGATAATTTAGTTTACGATCAGTAAGTTGATAATTTTAAACAAGAAAAGGACGACCTTATAAAATAATAAATAGCGTTGTATTTAAAAGCGTAGCAAATAAAAAAGCGATAGTTATAATTGATTATTAAGTAATAATAAAAAAGAATTAAACTTTACTTTGTAAAATAAAAATTGCGCGAGGCGGCCGCTTTATCTTAGCTGCGGCCGCTTTATCTTAACTGCGATTGCTTTATCACTTCGTGAATTTACTAGCGACCGCGCTAAGATGTTTTAAAAATAAAATGTACGAGTTTACTTTTAATCTTAACACTTTTATTTTATTACTTTTGATTTTACTTTAAACAATTACTTTTAACGTTTAGCTTTTTTATAATATTATTTAATATAGCCGCTTATCAGCTTGATTCGATAGAAAGTATTATTACAAATACAAATCAGCTTAATTTAATAAAAAAGATTAAAAAATCTATAATAAAAATTATTTTCTTATTTACTAATCTATTTATTAATCAAAAACGTCTTTTTTAAAATGCGGCCGATACGACGGCAATCGTAGCGGCAAGCAATCCGGTGTTAAGAAACTTTAGCAAGCGTAAAGTAAGTATCTTTTTTACGTAGTATTTTAACTTTTATTAATTTATTAATTTTTCTTAAAAAGGAAAGCTAAAGAAAGGCCAATTATTAACTAATCTTTATACGATAAAGGCTAATGCTCGTATAGCAAAGCTGAAATAAGATCTTTAAGCAGATGAGCTTCGAAAAGCTAAAAGACGAGATTAAGCGGCCGTTAATCAGCTTTTTGCAATTTAAAAACAAACTTTAGAATATTCTTAAGCATTAAAAGCTAAAAAGAAAACTCGATAAACCGAAATGCGAAAGAATCTTATAAATGAACAATACTTTTTCTTTTCTTTAATTTATTAAGCAATTTATTAATCGATTTTAAAAAGAATCGAAGCATCTACGCGGATAATCTTGTTATGCAAGCCGCTTCTTTTACAACTAAATTCAATAATAGAAAATACTTGAATAGCAATTAAGTTGATAAAGCATTCAATTTAAACGAAAAGGTTTATAAGAAATTTAATTTACGAAAAGACAAAAAAGAAAATGATAATATATTTTGCGATAAATACGTTTCGATTACTAATAAAAAAATAAAAAAAGTCACTCGATAATTAATACGTTAGCACGCATAAGTAAGCATTTATTTCATTTAAATATTTATATTTTGCTAATAATATAAAGTTACGTTATATAATAACCGTTTAGCAATTTCGTCGCTACTAGTAAAGTGTAGCGCGGTCTTTAACAAAGAAGTGCCGAGCTGCTAATTTAAAGAGTGGAAAAGCTTTCCTTGAATTAATAGCTTAAGACTTAGCAAGCACGGTTTTAAAACGAATTAAATAAGTGTTGTGCGGAACAGGCATAGTTCCACCCAAGCTATATATAACATGTCATGTAACCTCGCTTAATAGCGCCTTTAGCACACTAAAGCTCTTAAGTACATATACATAGATCTTAACGAGCTTCTTAAATAGAATATACTAAGCTTCATTCAATCTATAGAATCTCTTTTTAATCTTAATGCTAATAAGCATTATAGTTAAGAGCCACATTCGCACTTACGAGCTATTCAGTTAGTCTCTGACAACTTTCGAATTAATCGAAAGCGGATTCTGCAAATCATTTCTACGCTATTTTATTATAACTTTCATTTTTGCAATCTGTCTTTTTTCAACTATATTTATTCCTTACAATCAACACCTACCACTCTCAAAAACTCTAACCAATTTTCAAAGCTCTAGTCACAAAGTCAACTGCTATAACAATAGACGATAAAGTAAAGAAAGTCCTTTTAATTAATAAAACGAACCTTACAAGTCGTAGCGATTTTTTAAGATGGATTACGAATTACAAATACTTTATCAAGCGCTTTAGCATAGAACTAAGCTGCTTTATAAAGTGAGGGCCTTATAAGGTTTTCCTTTTTATTCTTTTTATAAAGTCTTGGCCGATAAGAGACTTTTTTTTTTAAACTTTATAAAAAGGATTTTTTTAAGTCAAATTCCTTACGAAAGATAGAAAAACCTTATAGGTTTAAAGTAAGACAGCTAATGTAAACACCCTGCCTGATGGGGTACCTGCCATAGCCACTAGGGCCACACTAGACGGACCCATCTTCTATAAAAGGGCACACATTTCTTAGCTAAAACAATCAACGAGCTTTCCACCTACCTTTTCTAACATTTCTTTTGTAAGACCATAAGGTCTAGCTTCAGAGCCAGGCTTTTATACAGCACATCTTTTTAAGTGCTTTTACATTAGTGACTTACGCAAGGATTTAAACCTTTAGTCTCTGTCCTTATACAGCTTATTATAATCGCTTGATTCGCAGTCAAGTTGATCTTCGTTCATTCAGCACTTTACTTTACAACTACGACTTTAAAACAATCAAAACCTTATTTTCGATAAGTTCGGACATCGAAACGCCGAAATGGCCGAAGTGCAATATTTCGGCTTTCCGGCAAAAACTCTTTTCTATTATTAATAAGAAAGAATTTTCATTTATTAGTGAAAATATCTTTTTATACTTTAGCTTTCATCTTAAATTAGAACAATTAACATAGTCCGGAGTTGTTAGCGAGGCTAATCAATTGATTCTTAAGTTTTTTATAGTTTTGATCTTGTCTATTAGTTTACCTTTGCAAAGGGTCTATTCTTTTTAATCTCGGATCGAAAATACCTTGCGAAAATCGCTTATTTTACTCGTGAACTCGGTTCACGAGTCAAAATCAAACAATTTAAAAACCTTTTATCAACCCGATCATTCTTAATATACATATATATTTGATCTTTAAAATACCGAAAACCTTCTTAAGATTTCTAATATCGAAGTCGGCGCAAAATCACTTTTCTTTTCGTTAGAATCCTTTGAATTTGTTGAATCTTTTAATCGTATTTTTATGAGCTTTAGATCATCTTTATCTTATTTCGACCTTTAACTTGAACTTTTACCGCTACTTTTATCGGAAACACTTGCTTCGGAAATGCTTCTCAAAATGAATACCGGTCTTAAGATCTACACCACTCTTCTTCTTCTTGCTCCTTTTGCTCTTCCACCAAGCCTTGCGCTAGTTATGGTCGACCTTGTTATCTTTTACGCTTTCATAACTACTCGCATGCTATTGCTAAGCGCCCCAAAAGCTCTTTGCTTTAATAGTGCTAATATTATCGACTTCATCGAGAAGTACGAGGAAACTTATAATAACTTTAGTATCCTTAAAGATGATCGGTTTATCAAACTCTTCTGTTATTGCGATAACCTTCGCAAAGAGGTTATTAAGAGCTTGCTCGAATAGAAAGCTAAGAAAGATTAAGCTGCTTTTGTTAAGGCTTTAAGAGCCGAGTTTCGTAAAAACGATATCTAACAAATCAAGGACTCGGTCGCTTTCTTGCGGGAATTTGCTATGCAAGAACGGGATATTAATGACTTGAAAAACTATTATCGCACCTTCTTTCGAGTCTTCGAAAAGCTTACTTTAATACACTTTTTAAGCAAGACCGAACAAAGCCGCTTGTTCCTCTTCGGATTGCTCGTCGGAATCCGAAACAAGACGATTAAGCATTGTAAGGTCGACGAACTCGATCTAGACTCTTATGCTGCTTTCGATGACTTCGCTGCATTCGCTTTTAAAACCGACCAAAGCGTTAAGACTATCGAAGCTATGAATCGAGAAAAGTCTCTTTTAGTTAATTTTATTAAAGATATTCGGACCTTAATCAAAAAACACATAAAGCTAGTTAGCGTTCTTGAGTCTGTTAAGAAAGCTTTAGTAGTAATGCCGTTTACCCGTGAACCACGGTTCACGAATGAAAAAAAGGAAATTAACAAAGTAAGTTCTATGATTAAGAAGTTTTCTAACTTGCAGATTAATGCGATTTATAATCGAATTGATTACTTCGAAGACCAAGTCGCTAACTTAACTTCTCGACGCTTTGTTTAATCTTAACTTTAAGTTCGATTTAAAGACCGCGACGAAGCCTTTATTAAATATATCGCTTAAGATGCCCGAAGTAAAGTCAGCCTCGGAAAAGAAGTTTAGATTGCTGCTATCGGCTACGAACTATAAAGACGAAGAAAAAGAAGAGGTAGAAGATACAGGAGTTAGATGTAAGATTGTAACTTCTATAAGAACTCCGAAGACATAACTTAAGCTCTTTATTAATACCGGGATAAGTGTAAGGCCTTTAAAGATATAGTCAATAAAGGATGTATTCATATTAGTGATTACGAACGCTTTTACTTAAGACTTAAAAGGATCGGTGCTTTTATCATCTAAAAGAAGCAAAAAAAGACTTGATTCAGATCTATCGTATTAAACGTTCGTAAAACAGAATACGATAACATCTTAGAAAATCGGCTTACTAGCGGACTTAAGACTTATAAACACTTACTTTCTTATTAACAACTAATTTAACAGCTAGCTTAGTATCAGCCCGATCAAAATGTTTAACAACCAACCAACTAGCCAAAAGAGCTTACCACTATTTTTAAAAGACTAGTCGATATTAAAAATATTAATGCTATAAGATAGATCAATACGCTTAGCTACTTATCTAGCATAAAGGTTGCTTCGGTCGAGATCAACGCCGCCGCAAAGGACAAAGCTAAGAAGCTTTTCTAGCTTTCGGAAAGATCTAAGCTTATTAAGATCAAGAAAAATATCCGACAATAAAAAGAGAAGAACTACGGCACTTTTAAAGCCCGTGCCTTTTAAGAATCGAGTATTATTATAGAAATAGACTCGGAAGATAGGCTGTTCGATAGTTTAATTAAGGAAAAGTCTTTTAGACTTTTTAGACCAACTAAAGCCGACGAAGCTATAAAGGATATAGAAAGAGAAGTTGAGATCACTTAGCGAGTACTAAGAAGAAGGAAAAAGAGGACTTACAAACGAAAGAAGTTTATTGACCCTTACGTTATTATTAAAGCTTAAGAAAAAGCAATAGCGGCGATTATGAAATCGAGAATCGAAGTTTAAATTAAAGACTTGTTCGAACTTAGCTCTCGCTTCGACAGGCTATTAAGCTACCATATTCTAATAGTCTCCGATGCTAAAGAAAACGTAGAGGTCCTTTAAAGTAAGCCTATTCTTATAAACGCTTTAACTGTTAGACGTCTAGGTCGGAATAAAGAAAGCAAGCTAGACCTCTTAGCGACGCAAATCCGTAAACAACTTATCGCCCGCAACTGCCTCGAAGTAGCGATAAAGACTTTAAAAGTTTTTATTAATATCGACGGTATAATCAAAAGCAAATCCTTTTTCGATAATAGATTTAAGGTTAACGTAATAAATAAAAAAGTAGTTAAGATAGCTAAACTACTTATTATAACGGATCGAGCTTTAATTTACATTATCGTGTCCGAGGATCTTTATAACTTCGATAAGTGGATAAACGACGTCGAAGTTATTATCAGCGGAATTATTAATTACGCCGATTTCTTTATTATTAATAATAGCAATCACGAGGTCATCTTAAGCATGCTTTTCTTCTTAGAATCCCAACTCTTTTTTTCTTACTTCGACAATAGCACGATGAAAGCCTCTTTTTAAAACCACGATCGATCCACTTAAAGCTAGATTACTATTGCAAAGGACAAGTCGGATTTAATCGAAAACCCGAGAAACTAGTCGCTAGCATGCAAGCTAAGATAGATGCTAAGCTAGAAAGAAGCTTAAAAAAAAATTCCGCCCGTAAATTATAATTTACGAATAGATCGGCACAAAAATAATAAAATCACAAAAAAACAATTCAATTTAATATTAAGCAAGGTTTATTAAAATCAAAAATACTAAAAATATTTGCAATCAAACTCGATAAATCGGAAAATTTTATATTTATTATCGACAACGACAAAGACCTTTTAAAAAAGAATATAGTAGAGGTTAATACGATATACAAAAAAAAAGCGGAAAAGGTTAGACCGATAGATTTAAAAGTATTAAATAAAAAGATACTTAAAAGAATCGACGATTGGTTTAAGCAAGATAAGAAAGCGAGACTTCTTAGATTTAAAAGACCCTTTTCGGAATACTTTATTAGCAGGTTTTCAAACTTAGAAGTTAGATCAAGATTGACGAAGAAACGATTCAAAGCACTTACGATTAGCTCTTAAGTCACTTCGAAAGAAAAAGAGCTGCTTTACTAATGCTTTTTAAATCGAAAAAAAGCGATAGCTTAAGATTTTACTTATCTTAGCTAAGTCCGGAAAAAAGTTATGCCACTTTAAAAGATCAAAACGGTGCTTTACGAAGCTTAGCAAAAGAAAACGTTTACCGTGCTGAAGGCTTTGTAAGAAATGGTTATCTTTATGTTAAAAAAACGATTAAAGCAAAAGGTCTTCGAACTATGCTAAAGCTTTTACCGGAACAAGTGGTTTATTATAGTAAAGAAAAAGAAAGGAAAATACAAGCTGATCATTGCTATAATTGAGATGAACTGTATAACGGTTAAAGACGCTAATATTGCTTTGAACGTAAACTAGTTCTCGAACGAATTTGCCGGTCTTACGATAGCTATACTCTTAGACTTCTTTTTTAAATACGATCAATTCTTCTTCGACGTTGAGTCTAAGGATATAATAGCTATTCAAACGCTTATCGGACTGCTTCGGATGACTCGGATACTTATAAAAGCAATTAATTCGATTGTTTAATTCGTTAAGGTCATTTACAAGATCTTTATAAACTGCATTCTTAACGTCTGCTTGCTTTATATAAATGACGTAAGAGTTAAGAGATCTTGATCTTTTTATAACTACGAAAAAGTTTTGCTCGGAATACGACGATTCGTTTTAAAATACATTTAAAACATCGATAAAGTGCTCGTAAAGTTTAAAAGAGTTAAGACGACCGTCGGAACGAAGTCTTAATACTGCATGCTTGGCTTTAATATCGTTAGATTCGTTACGGATAGCGAAAGACGCTACTTTTAGACCGCTAAAATTAAGAAGATATTAAAATAAACTAAGTGCGAGGATATATCGGAAGCGCGAGCTTTCATTAAGATCGTAGTTTATTATAAAATCTAGATCAAAAACTTCTTTACGATTGCTGCTTTAATCTACGCGATTATAAAAAAGAAGGTCGAATTCGAGTAGTTAGAGCCTTAGCAAGAAGCGATAAGGCTGCTTAAGGAAGCTTTGCTCTTTGCCTCCGCTTTTATCAAGATCGATTATAACAAGGACGAAAAGAAAATTTACTTGACGGTAGACGTTAGTCTTAAAAGATAAGGAATAGTATTGCAATAAAAGGATTCCGACAAGAAGCGACATCTTACCAAGTTCGAAAGTGGTTTTTAGAACCTTACGGAGAGTAAATACGACGCGACCAAGCGAGAATGCTGCGATGCTTTAAAAGCTATAAAAAAAATAAAAAGCGAATTATACGAGGTTCACTTCATCTTAGAAACCGACGCTAAAGTACTAGTTGATCAACTTAACGGATCAGCGAGCGATTTACTTAAAGCTTTCGTTACGAACTAGATTGCGTAAATGAGATTAATAAACTTTAAAGTCAAGCATATCTTTAAGATTAAAAACACGGCAGCGGACAGTCTTTTTAAGAAAAGAAGGGAGCATTCTTTAGATATCAAAGAAAGAAAAGAAGAAGATATTAACGATTAAGTTATTAACGAGCTAAACACTATTTTAATATTCTCGATTAAACGACTCGTAAATTATAGTTCACGAGCCAAAAAGAGAGTTTTGAAGCACGATTACTCGCTCGACTTTAAGCTTATTGCTTAATTCTTTACTACTTTCAAACGCTTTCTTTCGATCAAGACTTACGACTTTTAAAAGTTCAAGAACAAAGCATTTAATTACTTAGTCAAAGATGGTTACTTTTATAAGCGAGCAGATAATTTTTACTTAATCAAGCTAGTTATCGACGGAACTTAAAGACGCTATACTGCTATTTCCGACTCTTACCGGGAATCCGGATATAAAAGAGCTGAATCAATTTACTATCGCACGTCAAAACTCTTCTTTTAAAACGGATGCTACGAAGATTGCAAGGCTTTCGTCCAGAGCTATGAGCTTTATCAAAAACGTAAAGCTAGACGAATAGAAAACCTTTTGTACTCGACTTAGCTTATTTAAATATGGTCAAAAGTCAGCTTAAACGTATTACGAGTATTTACCACCGACAAAGAGATGACCTGCTTCGTATTAGCTAAAGAAGATCTATCTAGATAACTAGAAAGACGACTACTTCGATCGGCTAACGCCGAATCTATTATTAAGTTTTTTTAAAAAAATATCGTTTGCCGTTACGAATTATTCGAAAGACTGATTATCGATAAAAGACTCGAAAACAAAGCAGTTGCTAAGGCCTTCGCTACTAAGTACGGGATCAAAAGGGTTTAGATCTCGAGCTACAATTCAAAGGCAAATAGAATGATCGAGAGAAGACACAAAGATATCTTAGATAGCTTATCGAAAGTCACAAATAAAAGATTTAAAGATTAGGTTCGCAAATTCAATAAGATGCTCTTTGCGGTCTAGACATCGATATACGCACTTATTAGAATTACTTTTTTCTTTTTGAACTACGGACGAAAAGCTAAGCTACTTTTAGAATCACGATAGCTAGTCTAGAAGTTACTGCTATAGCAAAAGGTTCGATCTCGCGCTGACTTGCTTGTTATAAGGTTCAGATAATTAAAACTCCGAGACGAAGATATCGACGAGATTATCTTGAAAAAAAAACGCTATCGATTTGCCGCTAAAGCTATTTAAGAACGAGTCAAGGTCTTAAAGTCGGAACCTATTAAAGAAAAAGACTTAATACTGCTCTACGACGTTAAACGCAGCATCGATATATCCGCGGATACTAAACTGGACTATAAGTGGCTAAGATTTTATGTCGTCTTTAAAGCTTACGACAAAAGATACTACAAACTCTAGGAAACCGATAAGACTGAGCTTAAAGGCACCTTTGCAGCTAACCGCTTTAAACGATTCTACCGCCGCGATCAAACCTTCTTTCCTTTTGATAAGGACGACGAAGAAGAAAAAAAGGAAAATTCAAACTTTTTAAACAACTCGGACTTTAGCGAATACGAGCCTTCCGACGACGGCAAAGGTGAACTACTCAACTTAAGGGTGATCTCGAGACTTAGGTCTACTAACTTCTAAATCATTCCCTTAACACTTTCGAAAGAACAAAAATTAGCTTACAAAACTATTTTTTAGTCTGTTCCTTTACTTTGTTTTTCCTACTTTCCTATCCTCTCCTTGTTCTACACTTATTTTATAAAGGGACGTGCTCCTAATAATCACTCTCTTTGTTTTAATAAGAAAAAGTATTTCTTACGTTTGTTTTCTTACTTTTAGACTTGCCTTTCATTGTATTCTCTATTTTTTCTTTGTTCTTCTCACTTTACTAGCTATTTACTTGTCTTATACAGATTGTTCTTATTATTTAATTGTTTTTTCACCTGTTTTAAGCTTATACGGCTATTTCTTATTTCTTATTTAAGACTGTTCCTTTGTTTTAAGCGTGTTCAATTACGTGTATTCGAAAGTGAACTGCTATTAAAAAAAGTAAGTCTTTCTTACAAATGTACTTATATAAAAAAGCTTTCCCCTCTTTTTTCTTAACATTTTCTCTTTTTATAT